ACATATGCAGTGCGTTCTAGTGACTAGGAATATTCAGTAAAAGTATCAGTGTATTTCAGGGAAAGTAGGTGTGTACCTTTGAAACCCCTATTCGTTACATGCAGTGGAAGTGTATGGAGTAAATGGAAAGGAAGTAACATGATAGAGATACAAGGGGAATAACAAAAACTGTATAGATGGCCACAGAATGACATACCTTAACTTGATTTAGAGGCACATGAATTCGGTTTGTTGATTAAATGCAGCAGACGGTTGAAGCACACTTAAGATACAGGATGAGAAGTAAAAATTTTTAGTCTACAATCATTCAAACCAAATGCCTACGAACCCATTCTCTATATTGTCTTCATCTATATATGCAACTGAATAACGGGCTGCAGACGTTTGTTAACATGATTCGCCGGAAAACGTGATTCTGACTGGACTGTTATCATCCTCAAATTCGCAAAGCAGTTCTACGCTTAAAAAATAAGACAGCATTGTGATATGCTCGACTTATGCCTTTGCAAAATTCATTTGGTTTTTCTGGACGTTATTGTATTTGCGTGCTGTATCATGCCTAACGTTCCCTTGAAACATATGTACACTGAAGTCCTGTAGTGCTTTCATATAAGAACCCTAATCACGGACGTATGTGTATCTCTGATCATCGCGGTTAAACAATAGCAAAATTCGTGCCTGAGCACATAGATACTGCCTGTGTGTAGAATATTGTAAATACAGTTTAGCGTGTATTTATACACTATTTTCAATCGGTAGGCAGTCATGATTGTTATACAGTTACGCCACAGAGGTAAAAGCGCTTCCCATTCACTATTCAGAGCAGCCTACGGGCTTTTAAACAGAATATCCGATTAAAAACTGCTCGAAGGCCTCAGTGGTATTCTAGAGCACGGCACTGCTAACACAGCTTGAGTACACACCTAACTCTAGCCATCTGAGTTAAGGCCACGACTGAAAGCCTTGAAGTTTTCACATTTGTGCTGAATTACCTGCCAAACCTTCTGAAACTTAAGGTAACAATCAACGTTGACAAGGTAAGTTGATTACCCAAACGGGCTTACCCAAGCTATCAGTCTAGAATCCGTGAGACGATTACGAAGCAAATCCTACTAATTACTTGATTAGCATCGGTGTATGTTGAAATATCATTAACTGTCCGTTAGCAGACCATAAGTATTAGGCTAACTGTTAACCGAATTTGGTACATCTTGGCCTGAGTACACTTAGATACCTTTCAGTCTTTCCCAATAATTGTCTTTCTGATGAGTCAAAATGTTTGACGAAATTTAGGGGCTTATCACGCAAGCAGGTCTGGTTTACGGACTGGAGTATTAAACCTCTCGCAGGCAAGTCATTCGATAGCACAGAAACCGAGGAGACAGGCACTCAGTATTTTAACTGGTACCCATGCAGACAGCGCATTATGCCAATATTTGCGTTCAGTGTGTAATTCTAAAGGGTCATATGCTAAAGCAAACTTCCTCTTCTTATTCCGCCTCACTAAAATATTGCCATACTTATACTACGAATGCTAAAAACTCTACATCACATGCAGTGAGATCGTGTCTGAGCATTCAGACGAAATAATTTCCGTCAATACCAGCGTGATTTCGTGGTCTGGAGGCAATGCCAACGGCGTTCATCAGAACAACCAGATTTCTAATCCTGAATATGACAAGAGTAGGCACTGCATGAGGGCTCTAATGCAAACCAAACTAACATCTGTTTTTTTTCCATCCGAAGCGAACCAAACTGAAAAATGCTTAAAAAACACACAGGTGTTGTCGAATGCGAGTTCTACACGACATAAAAATAACCACAGTCCACAAACGCTCATATGAATTTGGAGAACAGAATTGGAATCTACAGGTGTCTATGCGTGCATGAGTTGGAGTTCTCTGAGAAACTTCTGTCAGTTTACGAGAGGATTCCGTTATCGGATGAAGCTAGTTATGGTAGGTTGCGTAACATTGAATATCGCCAGTTCATGCCTTAGCAGAAGTGGAAGAATCGACGGAAAACAAATTCGCATCTTCAAACATCAAGAGCGTTGATAACGGTGAGAGAAGTAGAAAATTTAGCGATCTAAATGAAGTCTTGAAGGATCAAATAAGTGGAAAGAAGAACGTGCTTTAAATCACGTAAATTTACACTAACATATCCAGAACAGAGAGACTGACGAAACAAATGTGCCGTCTTTCAACTAGCATCCCTGCAGAGAGTACGGCATACTAATCTTTGCATCTATTATGTTATATACATGTTCGCACTCTTATATAGAGTTTTGTGCAAGCATATACTTCCTCTTATTATTCGGTCTTACTAACGAAGTTCTGCCTTCTGAGGCATTGCGATCCTGTCACTGAAAATATGGTTCATATGCTTCTTCGGTTTAGTCAAGCAACTCACTTTATTACGTCTGTTCGACCAAGGTCAAATGTGCTCTCAACTTTTTCGCGATTAACTTCCCTCCTGTCTGTCTGAATATTGAACGCTCCCTGTATCAGGCCATAGGTTTGCGCCTACATATCGTGTGCGCGTGCAGTGACGACTGGTGCATAGCAAGCTTTGATTGGATGCTGGTCCTGTAGCACCTAGACATACTGACCGGACTGGTGTGTGTACACCACTGCGCATTGTTGTATGCATGATTCGGGGAGAGAGTGGCTGGTGAAAACGAAAATCGGTAAGCTCTGATACGTTTAACCCCTGTTTTACGCCGAAGTCGGACCTGCCAAACACAGTTCCACATCTAACATAGTTCTGCACTCAGTTGATCCCCTGCCTTACCTCCTAAGCCTTATTGATTAGTTTTTATATCCTCCGCACTAATTTGTCCCGAATTTTATGTTTCTAGTCCCGAGTAGAAAAAAGCACTGCTGTCTATTTAAGCTCTAGATTAACTACGCTCTACTCAAAATTCTACCCTCAATAATCCCAATTAATCCGCCCTCCCCGAGTGACTTAAGCAATTCCTTCCCAAACTGACCCTAGTTAACACAAGTATCCTCAACCACAGTGTCTTACCTCTCAAGCCACCCTGACCCGCTGCAGCAGTTTATTGAGCATACTTCACAACAGACCATGGTACATGAGATCTGACTCCTTTTGTGTTTGACTTTTTTCCAAATATCGCGGATTCCCTGGCTACTTTTATATCTTATTTGATTCTCCTGTATGTGCTTTAAATCGGACTTTTTCAAGTAAAATAATTTGCAAATAGGCAAAATTCTATCGCAGGCAACAGAGCAGAGGTTGCACAGTAAATAAATGTCTGCCTCGTTCTGGGAAGCTTTTACTCCGTGCTCTAACGGTGTCTTTGTTAATTGGTAGCGGACGTCAGGCAGAAGTGACTATTTCAGGCGATTGCCTATGGCGTCCTGATAGGTGGGCATATTTTTGTCACTGGTTGAATACCTGTTATCTTTTTCCCCTACAAGACACATCGGATGTTTGCTGCAATCACAGGCAGTTGTTTGGGATTTTATTCTCGTACTTAACTTTTGTTCTTTTGCTGTGTCATATTCAGTCTCTGAGGGAAATCGTTGGCTTCCGGAAGTAGGCCTTTGACTAATGTGTGCAGGAAGGCTCAGAGTTTTTGCCCTAGTTCTTATCGAGCGTTCTGTATTATAAACAAACGCGATTTTCCACCACTTTCTTGCATCTCTTCGTCCCACCTCTGGAAAATGCTTGCCCTCCTAAAGTACTTCTCTGGATTATTCGCACAGTCTGATTCATACCCTTGCTTTCGTTCTTAATTTTAATCGAATATTATACACAGATGCTCATTGTTCTCCTGTTCCCTATGCCTCTCTTCTCTCCTCTGGACCCCTTCATCACGAGGTTCTTTGAGTGGTGTTCTCTCCTGCAGGAGGTTATTCCTCCATTCTCCTACGCACTCATCAGCGCCACTTAGACTGCACTTAAGTGATGCGTAGTAAATTTTTGTCAACGCTAAGCATTAACTTCCGGTTGATACTGTTCCGGCCTGACCTGTGCTTTGTATATCGTGATCCTTCGTTTAGCACCATGAAGACTACGATAATGAAGTATTCCAGACCCCATGTACTTAGCCGGACACAAAATTCCAACTCCATAAAAGAAAACCCACGCATCTTTGAAAAGGAAATATTTTACTCGTACGGTTTTATTTCAAGAATATAACTTGATATTTGGTCAACGACCAGTACGTTATTTACATACGTTTTAGGTTAATTACTTCGGCGGGGTTTGGTTCTGCAGTCCCACTTGATCGATACCGTATGGCTAATTTGCTTAAACAGTATTAGATAACATACCTAACTTAGTCACTCGCTGGATAGGGAAAAGAAAGAGAGTACAAGTAGAGCTCGAAGCGCGCGCAGGGAAGCAAGCGAAGATGGCTTGTACAGTGAGTGACCGATCTCATAAAGTGCTGGCCAAATTTTTTAAATGCGTTTTTGATTAGGAAGGATTACTTAGGTGGGGTTCCAATACTGACTATCTTGCGGCATAATCCTATAATATTTCGGACTGGACATGATGTCGGCTTTTGAGTGCATTTCTTTTGTATCTCCTATAGAAACCGTAATCAGTAGCATTCATTTTCACACTGATTTTCAAGTCTTATAAATTCAAATATATTTTATAAAAAGCATGAGCAAAAATATTATTTCTTTCACTCGTCATACTCAGCTGCTAATTTGATATCTACCCCTAGCTGCTATTATTTTTCACACTATTAGTTTGCCGAATCAGTCGCCCTTAAATTACTGTAGTTTGTACAACCGAAGTTTAGCGTCTGCGTATGCAAAGTTCAATTTTCTCCAAAACCATTGAAAATATCATCATTCAAATAATATGCTCTGCATTGTGGTGCTAGTTTGATGACATCAGTAATGACGTTCAGTAGCAACCATTAAAATTTGACTCCTATGTCCATGAGCATCGTTCCTACTTCCTACTTGTTTTGTTGATAATTAACTCGCAGTTCTGTTGGTAATTATGTAACAATTTGACTTTTCAATTGTAACATGGGAATATTTGCTGAATTATGCAACAAATTAACAGTTTTTGTCCTCCAGACTCATCGCAATAAATGGCAATGAGTACCGTTTTCGAATTCAGCCTCAAAAAGCTCCCTTTTAGGTCGAACTGCATTATTTGACTTTCAACTAAAGTAGTTAGTATCTATGTTGGGAGTACGGTATGATACGTTTACCATAAAGGTATCTTGGTGCACCACGAAGATGGGAAGTGACCTAGTGGTAATGACTATTATGAACCCAAGAGCTTCCGAAGACGGTAAACTCACATAACTGGTAGTTTTGCAGTCGATTTATATGTGAGCATTAATTCGAAGAATGTAAAGGGGGATTCTCACGTGTTGTCAGTGTGGCTCTGAAGGAGATTACACACTTACTGTACAGAAACGGCTTCTATGAATTTCAATGTTTGCAAGAATGATCCTTTCTCTGGACATAGGGGACTATGTTTGGACGGAGGTCATGTTCGGTAATAAGGTTTTGCAGTGTTTGCTAGATCGTCTTTATTCTGTTTAGTCTTTTTACTGTACAGCGAGGTGGAAAGAGTATGGTGTAGTAAAAGGCTGAATGCGTATGACAAAAGGCTTTCTGGCAAATCTACACATTCCATTATCTCTGACAACAGACTGGTCTACGAGTTTGGGAGCTCAGAAAGTGAAAAAATTATTCCAATGTTTAATCAGTTTCCTTCGTCGTTACTTGTACTTACACCTGGAACTCGAATATACGCCTTCATTCACAAATCTTCCATTCACATTTGAAGGAAGTATGGAGAAGGCGCTGTCAGAATACATCTCCTGTCTGGAGGACCTCATCTCAGAACTGAGCCAGATGCGGACGGCTGTTGTGAATTTTAAAGATAAATGTGATTGTGCGAAGGCTGTTGGAACGGCAGTGTCAACGGGTGGAACTGCACTTACCATTGGAGGCGCTCTTTTCGCCATACCGACAGCTGGATTGTCGTTACTACTGACAGCCGCAGCCATCGGAACTACCCTCGCAGGCGCAGTGACAAATGGTGTTACGGACTCAATCAACATCAGTGAAACAAAGTAATTTTGCCATTTGTTGAAAAGTTCTTCCTCCCAATCTGAAATTCGAAAACAATTTGACATTGCCTGGTGCAGTTTTGTGACATAAAATCTACACTGCGGACCTTCGTTGATGCAGGCAAAATAATAGCATTTATAATATATTTAATCCTAGTTTTGCGCAATGGCACCGTTTACTTCATGAATCCCGTCCCTTATGAGCGAGATCAGACGGAAGAGTTGTCGGTGAGAACTGGATATGTGAGCACAGAGACTCTTGTTATATGGGAAGGATGTAAGTACTAGCTTTTTCGGTAGTGCTGATGGACGCAACAACTGACGGATCCTACGTAAGCCATTGGGAAAACTCGCATTTTTGTCACTTGTCTGTCTTACTACCCCAACGGGGTGTCGAAACAGCCAGCACATTTTGAAAAATTTGAATTAAGTGGCGTGTAAACAGGTAGAACACAGATAGTCTAAGGTTAGTTGTTAAATAAGGCCGGTTTGGATAAGGCGGTTTACGTCAAACAAACTTAACCATAGTCCTAACCCTTCCACCAGCCCTACTCTTTAGCCGAACCTAACCTTAAGCCTAGTCTTAACCTTCACCATACGTTTAGCCATTTCTCCTAAAACCAGTCAGATATGTAGCCTGACACTACGTGTTTACTTAAATCAAATAAGTAAAGGCGCTATAGTAATAAAAATTGTGGGCTCGAATATTCGATCGTCGTCGAGTTATCGGCCCTTTTTACAAAAACGTAAACCATGAATATTAGATAAGGAAACTGCTTGAACACAGAGAGGAGCCCTTATTTCGAACAAATGAAAAGTATTCAATAAAATATCTCCTACCTTAGTAACTCAGCCACCAAAAGGCAAAAGAGTTCTAGATGATATGCGAACGACTTAAAAGAACTCTAATCAATAAGCTAATAAATTAACCTCATAGTGTCCTAGTCTGCTTGACTTTATTCAGCACATTTCCTGAGTGCTGTCATCCACTCCAGGGGTTGGAGTTGTCTAGTGGCGTTTGTCTTGGAACGGGAATTCCAGACTGCCAGATTGAACATTTGGTGGAAAGCGATCTGAGCTAATCTGGGTCGACTAGGAGATTGCGTGTTGTGCTCTCCACAGAAGTGTTTTAATGTGGAGTGGAGGGGAAAATGGAAGCAGGGATGCCGGGTGCGCGGACATACACGATACAAAATATCCTTATCAGGTTAAGCCTGCCGGTCGAGGCGGTTAAGAGGGTGTGGTCACCAGACAGAACCTAGATTCGGGCGAGCCACGGAGGAGAGGTGGGTGTCGATTAAGGGCCGTGTGGAGCAGTCCCCGCTTGCATGACGCAACCTACCATACCTACACGGTTTCTCCCTAACTAGCCACCCCTACACCTTCGCTGTAAAGACAGGAAAATTAGCGCAGGTAAAAGACTTAGGTGCTTGCGTTTGTCAGAACGAGAGCTAAGAGCTTAGCAGCGGAAACATAGCTTATCCCTGAATAAGTAACACTAGGTAAGGAGGGAATGATTGTAAACAGATCAGATCAAGGCATTGATGGTACTGATGTTTTTGAACTTTTCGAGTGCCTCACATAGACGCTTCAAAAGAAAAGGGGAGCGAGAGGCACTAACCACTAAATTTTGCGTGTTTTATTCAGGTGAAATGATTATTTACCACATTCTTAGATCTTCGCGCTTCCTTACCATACTGATGCAGAGCTGAAGCCTACTCTGTCAAAACAGCGATTAAATCGTGACCTGTTTCCCAAGGTGTACTCGTCTATGTCTGTTATTTTACTCCATATGCATACTGTCCAATTTTTTCTGTGGGCACGATTATAAATATCCCCCATACGACAGGTCGTCTTCCACTAAATTCCCGGTGGTTAGGGTTGGGGACTAAAGTAGAGAACGGGAATGAGTACCCCCTGGGATCTGATGCAATGCACCTGTAGTGCAGAAGTCTTTTCCCCTACCCAATCCCTCTTGAGCACAAAGAGACAATTTAACCACACTTAACTGGTGAACGGAAAAGTTGTTTCTCTCTGCGTCAAGTCAAAAACATGCATATATCTGCTCACAAAACAGATCCTTCTTAGACTCGACACCCAAAATTGTTTTTCACCAAGGACTTGCTGTACCCTTCATATAGACTATAAAACCTTTGAATGGAGAGATATGTGCGTATGCAGGTTAACGTCCAATGCTTGACTTTTAGGGAATTCATACGAAAGGCTGAAGCGGTTCTGGAGAAAGGCAAGCGAGCGTCGGACGAACTTGCCATCCATTTGGAAAAACTGAGTGCGGAATTTGAAGACTGCAAGCAGCGGGGAATTCCAGAAAACGAAGCCGCGCTCCGTGCAATAGGAAAGTTGTGCGTCCGTGCTCCGTCAATGTGTACGCTGGCCACTGCAACGCTGAAGGCTTATATAAAGGAAATCAATCCACAGTTGCTAGACCTAGGTTTGAATACGGAATTTCTGACTGCAAAATATTTTCTCAAACGAAATGCAGCAACAGCCTCAAAAATGGTGGGAAAAAATGCGACTACTGTGACGAAAGGTTTTGCGAAAGGAGCCGCCGTAGGTCTGAACGTTGCCCTGCAGCTGTATGAAATTTATGACCTTTTTAAAGAAATGGATACAGAACATCCAGCAGCAACGGCAATCGAAGAGATCATTTCACAGCTTGAGTAAGTTGTCATCTACGTAATGTATTGCAGTTGATTCCCTTTGAACTATAGAAATTGGAAAAAGGGATAATTTAAGACTCCAGGCTGCTGAAATAATTAGATAATGCGTACAGTAATAGTCTGGCACCCCAGAAGGACAAAAAGTGCCAAACTAAAAACCAAAGAATACCCTCATTTATTCGCCGAGCGTCTCTTATCTCCGTCGGTTAATACCGCATTTTCAATTTCAGAGGCAAACTTGGTGGGGCCAAAGAACTCAGAGAGGCTGTAAATGCCGTGCAACAAGCTCATCAGAGGGCCACCCGAACTAGAGCTACACCGGCTCAAAATGGTCGCACTGCACAGTCACAGTCGACTAACAATGCCGACAAAAATAAGCCTGACAAAAATGCAGCCGAATGCGATAAGGGTGATGGCGCTGAGGATGAGGATCCAAAACACAGGCCAAATCGCCGCACCTGTGAAAATCCCCTATCCGAAGCCGAGGCGAATGAACTAATTAGGCTGCTGTGGGAACTGGTGACAGAGATAAAAGCCCTGTCTGAAGACCAAAGAAAATCCAAGGAAAGACTGCAGAATCTCTTGGATAGGTTTACTGAAATTCTTCGGAAAATGTATAAGGCTGGATTTGTCTCCAGCATTGATACGAAGACGCGCAAACTTCGTCTTTCGACTACAATCAACGGCAGGGCACTTTCCTATGAAATCTCCCGGGAGGGATTTCATTTGTGTGACCTTGACCCATCAGATATGCAAAATGTCTTCTCTAAAGTCCTCTTTGGAGGATCCTCAGAGCACATATTTCGCAATGAGGAGGGTGTTGTGTACCACATTTGTGCTGTTGATGATGAAAACCAACACATCAGATACGTTGGATTGACCAGGAGAACCGCGGAAGAGCGCGTGGGCGAACACATGCGGAACATTGCTCGTTGTTCTTCGATTTATAGCAGTGGGAGACGGCGTTCGCCGTCTGATAGGAATTTTCTCCGAAGAACTTCGTACTTCTGTCGAATAGCAGGAAGGGTCGCCAGTGAATTGGGTCTGCACGAAGTCTATCAACTCGGTGACCTGCTGGAAGTATACTGCATGCCGCTCCAGACTCAAGACTACGGGGAACTCCGCTTTTGGGAGATAATATGGCAGTGGTTCTTTGCTGCACGGGATAAAGATGGGGGGTGCAATAGAAGATGACCACATGGCTCATTCAGAATGTAAAGGCTTATGGCACCTACTAAATGCAAACTGCATATTTTGTCCGCTTTGATAAGTTTTCTACTTTTGTTGATCTGCGGTAGACTTAGCGCAAAACCGGTCGATTGCCACAAGTT